TATTATTATTATAATATTACAATATTATGAATATATTATTACAGAACAAGTTTGCAGTACGGTATTTCCTGCTTAAAACGACTAAATTATGATAGACAACAATTAGAGGAAAGAAGACGAGTAGCAGAAGGTGCCAATATAGATGTACTCGTTTGGAGTAATGATCGTGTCATAAGATGGGTACAATCGATTGGTTTGAAGGTAGAACATTGTTCATTGTTCTGCTATGATTGATTATTTACAAAAAAAATTAACATCCAATTTGTAATTATAGGAATATGGAAATAATCTCTTAGAATCGGGTGTGCATGGTGCGCTCATAGCCCTAGATGAAAGTTTTGATGCAAATAGTTTTGCACTAACTTTACAGATTCCTACACAAAATACACAGGTAAGCGCGACAAACGTTTATGGAACTTTACACTTCTCTTAATTATATTGTAACAAGAATCTATAAGAATAAGAATACTATTATTTTCGGCAGGCAAGACAATTGTTAGAGATGGAATTTTCTAATCTCTTATCAATAGCGACGGAAAGACGTCTGGATGAGAATAGTCTGAAATCCTGATCCATCTCATCAAGTCGGCTGGCTCATATTCAACCACATCATGTCTAGTCCAAAACCCCAGCTATTGCTATTATCTATGCGCAAGTGTGTTATAAAAATTATAAGAGCTTTAAGTATCACGCTAGGAATATCTTCATATTGTTATGACAAATGTAACATTTGGTAACATTGAGATGTGTTTTGACATAAGCTGTTATGATAAGTTTACACGATACATTCGATATTTAAGGATTTCATCTAATCGATTTTTATGCCGCATACACGCCACAAGCATTATATACTTTTTATGATAAAGAAGATAAGAGGCAGTTATTTCGAGCAGTTTTTCATATAGATATTGAAATGTAGCAGACAAATTATTGGATTACTAGACACGGAAAAGAATAATATAGCACTCTCCTTAAAAGCACGAGATACCAATTGCAGACTATTACGACAATAATTCTCTCTGAGTTAGTCTGATTTGTTAATAAAGTCGATAAGCTTCAGTATTATGATATCATGTAATAGAGTGTATTTGTTGTACGACTTGATATAACAACGTGTGTACTTATAATATTCAATAAATATTTAAGGCAGGATAAGTTAATACTTTGCATCGCACAAGGAAGTGGAAAAACAGGAGTTAACAATATCGTTGCTTTTGGGGAAGTTGTTCATATATAAGGTGTCCTGTAATTGGTAATACGATCGAAAAGTACATCTATATTAAAAAATAAGTTAAAAACATTAAATTTTTTCTACAAAATGTTCTTTTGTCATTTCTTTTTGCTAAAATTATAGCGAATTCGATTTGAACGTACTCGTGCACACTAATGCATATTAAAACTGTTGTACACTGATTTAATCTCTGCAAAAGTAAAATGCAAATATTTCGAAATATTAGAAAATACAGATTTTACTCAACAGCACAATTAAATGTATTGAGGATTTCATAATCCGTCTTTATATTTATACTAAACATATATTTTTACGTTAATTTGTGTACCATGGTTTCTAAGTACACTAGTGTGCATTAAATGCATTCAATCGAATTCACTATTAGGAAGATGTAAATGACTGAATAAATTTTGTTGTCAAATTCATTTTAATGTCTATTAGATTACAAATTATACAACACTTTATTTTAAAAGCGAAAGATAAACTTATAACTTATATATTGATGAATATGGTGTGTGCACACACACACACACACACACACACACACACACACACACACACACACACACACACACACACCACACACACACACACACACACACACACCACACACACACACACACACACACACACACACACACACACACACACACGAATCATCTCTTATGAGCACATAAAGCAGACTAACAAGGGAACGTTTAAGTAAATAATTGATCTCGATGAAACTTAGTAGATATGTAGAGGGATGTACAGGGAAAACTGTAGTGTAATGTACATTTTTTTTTTGCCCAAATTGCCTTTTTTGGCTGCTAGGAAACGCTTTTAATAGGTATTAATTAATATTAATCGCATGAAATGCTTTCTAAGAAAAATTAAAAATCTTCTCCAATTGGTTACATGAAAAAAATAAGATCATCAAAGTGTCCCTGAGTGATCTCCAAAAGAAACAAATTAAAAATAATAAGCATTCACTTATTTTTATACAAAATCATTACAACAATGAAATTCCATAAAGAAATGTTTATAACGTAGTTTTTGTACATCACGCACATGATATAAATGAAATCTCTTCACACAATACACACGGGCAATGTAATGTAAAACAAAATTTAACAGGATTCTCAAAATTTGGAGGTCGATCTTCTAAATATCCGGATTTGTACCAGGCATATTTCAATAAATTAAAGAATCTCGGCGAAAAGAATTGATTCTGTATTAATGATATATATATATAATTATATTGTTTCTCAAATAAAGATTGACATCATATCTATTCAGCAGCACTAAAGCTGAAAATCATCTCACGAAGTTCTTCCAACATCGAAAGCCATATACGTCTAATAGCTATATTTGGCTCCCTCTTGAAATAATCAGATGTTTTCAAATTTCGATGCCGTCAGAAAAACATTTGGAGTCTGAAAAAGAGATTTTCGAATTCTCGGTCCAAAATTTCCATTAGATTCTTTTACAACAAGAGGAGGATAAGCAATTTGCCAGCTGCAGACTATGGGCTGAATCATATAATTATGATATATCGATGATAAAATTTGTACAATGGATTCAACCTTTACCGCACCTTTTTTGAACAAAGTACGTCCAGAATGCTAATCTCTCCAAATTGAATCCGCTCTGATCGGAGTTGTACGCAAAATCTCTAATATGCTCTTTAGCTTGCATACACATTATAAATCGTAAAACAACCTCATTGAGATCATTTTTACTTGTTAGTTTCTAGTTATAAACTTCATTATTTTCTACAATCTCGTGGATTTTTTTTAAATTGAATAACCATGTGCAGCTTGCCTTGAAAGTATTTAAATTTATTTACAAGACCCACTTTTGAAAGTCAACATCATGAATAATGAGTTCATGATTTATAGTCTCCAATAATTTTTTGTAAAATCTAGCAGTTTATTACTTTCATCCTACCTTGTTTTAAGCCATTTTTAAGAATGTATTTTTCCCAGCGATACAACTGCGTCAGCGAAATAACTTTACGATATTTATGTTTCATGAATGAAACATGCTCATTATTTTCAATTCATTTCTTTCGGAGACTCAAGGACACTTTGATGATTTTATTTTTTTCATGTAATCAATTTGGAGATTTTTAATTTTTCTTAGAAAGCATTTTATGCGTGATATTGATTAATACTTATTAAAAATTCAGCGTCTCTTAGCAATCAAAAAAGACAATTTAAGCAAAAAGAAAATATATGTTACATTACAATTTTGACCGCTCTGCACATCCACCAAGTTTCATCGAGATTCAATTATTTACACCTAAAAACGTTCTCTTGTAAACTAAATCGAAAAGTTCTGTAATGTTTTGCAATTTTCGCGATAGTTAATAAGATATTGATTAGTAAAGATTGCCGAATGAACGCGCATTTGCCCGACCTATTTATCACCAAATATACACTCATCGGATATGATTACTAGGCGTTTCGAGGAGTTGTTTGCGACAAACGCCAACAGCTATGTACTAAAGACTAAAGAAAACGATTCTCCGCGCTCCAGTAATTACGATCACCGAGTGATCATATCTCACAGCGCACTTGCATTTAGCGACTCGTCAGAAGGATACGTATTTATTCGATGATGTTTAATAATTATTATTCCGTTTACGAAAATTGCAAAATGTACAGGATTATTCCATTCTATTTCCAATCCGCTTTACCTACTCAGGAGGAGTAATTCAATTATTATCGGACAAAAATTTTGGATACATATATATTAAACTGACAAGAAAAAAAAATTATTTTTAATCGACTTCTCAGCTCAAAAGCATCTATTTCATATCAAAAGAATATCTCGAAATTTTTATCAAAAAATATAAAGATTTAAAAGTCGCTAGTGAACGATTTTTAAATCAAAGTTTTGATTTTCCTTAATATATGTTTGATTTGATGCAAAAATAGCTTAATCCGAATTTTAAATGTGGTACTATGTTTTTTTTTATCATTGAACACGATGTAATAATTCATTTAGCTCTACGATATATACTGTAAGAAATACAGCCCAATTAATGTGAAAAATTGATCAAATTTCAAAGTTTAAAGTAAATTTTAGCAAGGTTCAAGCATTTAATGAGGTCGTTACTCCTCTAAAATTGTAGGTCTGTTCAAACAAAGGGATTTGATTTGAGGGTGTCAAAAACACAAAGCAATATACTTTAGAACTTTTTTCCTATTCTTAAAAACGTTTTATAATTCAGCACTTTTTATGTTTAAATGCAATTTTTAAAAGCCTTGTAGAAGGCCTCGGGAAAATTCAAACTTTTGTTCTGGATGAACAGATCTACAATTTGAGGGAAGTAACGATCTATTTGCTAAAATCGATCTTGAATTCGAAATTTGATCATTTTTTCACAAATAATCTTGGCTGTATTTCTTAAGGTATATATCGTAAAACTAAATGAATTATTGCATCATATTCAGCGATCAAAAAAAACATACCACATTTAAAATCCAGATTAAGCCATTTTTGCATCCAATAACATGTATTAAGGAAAATTGAAGCTTTAATTTAAAAATCGTTCACTACTCACATAGCACATGGATGTCCCTTGGATGATCATAGGATAGTATCGTTCGGACGTCGGCATTCAGATGACGTACCAAAAATATCCAGTCTAGCGTACGTCTTTTGGATGCATAATATATCACCTTCAGATGTCCAATGGACGTTGTTAGGGCGTCTCGATAGAATATAAAATGGATTTTTTAAAGATATTGTTTGGACATATTCCAATGAGAAATGATAATAGAATAGCTATCGAAATCAAATAGATGTCGATTCCATTATTATTCTCTGGGTATTGCTTACTGCATGATTACGAACTTGTAAAAAATGATATTTGTCATTAAAAATAGTGTTAATATTTTCAAGTAACGCTTTGTATTATAATATAAAAACAATATTGAAGCAGGAATATTAATATGATTTTAGAATATCATTCATTATTAAAAAAGTTATTTTTTTACTAAAGTATCACGAATTGTTTAAATAATTGAAAATTGTTAGGAAAATATAAAAATTAATAAGAAAATTGTTTTACTTCTTTCAAAGTTGCATCAAACATTAGATATTTTTTTTTAATATTAGTGAAATGTTAATAATTTTTAATATAATATATTAAAATATATAATAAAATATATAATAATA